AAAGAGAGATGGTACGATTCTGAAAACATCATAGTCTTATTCTGTGTAGCACACCGAACATGTTCAGCGCTTTTCCCAACATCCGAACATGTTCGGGTGTTCCGCTGACCGCCACCCGAACATGTTCGGCCGGACATATTAAAAAAAACAAACAAAAACGTTTTTTAGTTTTTGATTTTTAACTCATTTGGTTACCAATTTTAGCATACCTCGAAGGCAAAAGTTGTTTGTATTATTATTTTACATCACGTATATTCTTTTCAGATTTTTTGGAGAACTTTTTCTTTTTTTTAATGTTCGCATTCGGAACGTTCGGGTTCGGTCACCGAACACGATCCTACACAGGTCTTATCATACAGTCAATATCAGTATACTTTGGTTAATCACATGGATATAAAAAAAAGTACTACTTTAGAAAAAGTCTTTATATCTAACTACAAGAGATCCTCAAAGAAACAGAAATACATTGCATGTACAGCAACTACACCCATTAGAGGCAAGTGCCATTGACGGTGGCATAGCAAGAGGACAAGCCACCGCAATTATAAAGAGAGAAAGACAGGGATAAGAGGAGAGTTGGGAAAGAAGGGAGGACAAACCATTGAAACCGTCAATTGAATTCAGGATGATGTCCTGAATGTGAGTTCGATAAATTTCTTCCGTCTTGATCTCTGGTCCAAACACATTGTCTGCACAGCAAAAGGCTCAGTGTCAATGACAGACACATCAACACTAAACTTGGAACACATAGAAGGTATAAACAACATCGCAAGTTGTTTGCCTAAGCTTCGTCCATCAAACAACATCGCAAGTTCATGCCCTGTTGCACGCTGATTACTCAAGAACACAAGGCAAGAAGAAAACCAACGCCACAATATATGAGAACAGGAGTTATCCTGCCATCGACTCCCAATGCCCACTTCACATACAGGCAACTACTACAGTCTTCCCCAAACATACTGCACATACATTGCTTTCTATTCTAATACAACGCATGTATGTTATATTCCAACATTCCTGATATTCAAATACATAGCATATGGGTTCTATTCAAATCGTCAATTTTATTTCTTCGAAAACTCGAAGACAACGCATGTGTTATGTTCAGGGTAAGACCGTAGTGCAAGGAATATGAGCGAGAGCGATAGACAGAAACCAAGTTGCAAAATCACACAGAAGTGCAATCAGACTCGTATAAACACACTTTTCATGCAAGTAAACAGCAACACAGCATACTGGCGACATGCGCCCACTCAAAACTCAGAGATATGGCTTTCAGATACGAGTTCACTCTCAATTGGCTGTGGCGACTTCAGCGCCCAAACATCTCACTGTTCACATACACTGGATCACCCTGGATATCCCACACGCATCACTCTAACACTCGAACACACACACA